GTTGAGTTCTAGGACTAGAAAAAGATTATCTTGTAGTACAGAAGTCCTTTTAATGGCACTAGGACCTAATGTACACTAACCAAAAGATTACATATGAGTAAAGTTGGTAGTTTTGGGTTGAGAATATTTACTAATAAAGATGCTAAACAAGCAATGAATAGGTTTTTGACCATGTATTCTCATGTGAAAGATGGTGAAGAGATTAAAATTGTTCATAGCTAAGGAGACCGCCAATTAGATTAACAATGCAACTAGTAATAAACACTTTACTCTTAGTGGTGCTTTATTTTAGTAAAAGAACCACACCAGATACGTCCTTTTGGTAAGAAGTAAAGAACTTAATTAGTGAAATGTATACTATCTTGTAAATAAAATGTTGGTTTATAACATCTTCGATCAAAACAAGTTTTCTCGTACGCTTTTCAACGTCACCACACTATTGTAATAGCAGCACGCTGCAATCAGTCCTCTACAAGTTTTCGAGTCTTTCCTAACCATAACAATGTCGAGTCTCAGCTCGCTAAATTTACTTAAGTATAATATGTCTGTCGATTCGTATACAATTCTCTTTGCTCTTTGTTAAAGGAAACAATGGGCAATTGCGTTATAAAATAGTTTTGCACTATAAGACTATGAAGATTTGTTAATTGGCGTGTATTTTTAATACTTTCAAAATCAATATATCTTGCATAGCGTAAGGAATAAACTTCGTTTAAAAGTAAATATTTAGTGCTATGACGGCTGATACCTATGTAAACAAAAATGAATCGCACATCAATTAAATTAAGGTATACGAATTAATAAGTCTATCACATAATTCTATTGTCGCTAGGAAGATCAGCTTCGGCATCGTGCCAGACTGTTACGCTCGCAAATTTCAACGCATTCTAATATTCTTATTCATTTTTAATTGAACCTGATTACCTTTCTTTAGAGTGCCTACAGCGGTGTCATACTCCTTTTTATGTTTAAATGTTTGAAGTGGCTAATTCACGATATGCCAGATAGGGATACTCAAAACAGAAGATTTAAAAGCCCAGATTTAAGATCTATTTGAGAGTATCATGATTACTAGTCTCTGTAAAGCTTGATTACTGACTGATTAGAATTGTTAGTATTCCATATGACTCACGAAGAGTGGTAGTAAGTTTAGGTTAAACAGAAAAATTTTCGTAGTTTTTTCAATATTTACGGGATTACAATCAAAGTCTAGCACGATATCGGACTTGATATGTGCTATAAAACCAGTATCGTAACAATTTATGCTTGAAATTACAGCAGTATTAAAGTGCTATAAATTGGTATAAAAAGAAATTCAATTTCTTGTACTGTACAACTTCACATTATTACATAAACTGATTTCGTTTAGCAAATTATCCTATAGAGACACGTGCTTGTCCATAATCTTACAATTTAATATACTCGTACAACTCGTGTTATTCCTGTGCAATCCTAAAAGTTTAACCGTAAGCAACTGAGGCGCCTTACATTCTCACTTAATGCGAATGCTATCGTCTTTAAATTATCTATTAACCGTCGCAGACAAATAACTTAACGGTTAATTTAACCCTAGTTAACACTATTCCACTCAGATCTAAAGTACTATCTTACTTATGATCACTATGGACTTACTGTAGCACCTATTTTCCTACATTCCTAATTAGGTTACCGATTTTAAGTCAAGGTTTGTTACCAATGATATCATTATTGTGATTTCAAACGATGATAGAACTAGAATAAGAAATAGCTAAATAACAAACTCTTCTACGCTATTGTGGTGATTCAGCTAATTGCGATAGTTGTGTACTTTGGAAGTATGATAGCAATATGATGTAAAGTACTACGGTATGTATAATTTATTATGACTATTGTCGGCGTTTCACAATGATACTAAATAGTCAAAAAAAGCTTTATACCAGTTGAGAAATTAAATACCCTGTACGATATTTCTTAGTGCAAACGCCCCCATCATAATGCAAATTCATAACTTCTATAGCATAATGTTTTAAATCGTGATTCTATGCCTCTTTAGACAATTACCGTTTGTACTTTAAAATTATTTCCATGGGAGTTTATATTTGCTAAATAGTTTAATGTAGTCTATCTATACTACTAAATTCTGGGATTGCTTGCTTGATTCATAGCAATAGAGGACAACTTAATAGTGTATCGCAACGCAATTCTTGCAATACTCGTTTAGAATTGCTAGCCACAAATACAATATTGCTATTCACTACTTGTAAGCTGCACTGACACAGCAAGAAAACTAACAAGGCAAAATGTACATTTCCGTACCACTTCAGCTTATGGGTAACCGTTATAAGAAGCTATATATAGCAACAACAAACAACAAATATACAACTTACATAGTAGCTGTAGGTCCGAGACCCGATAAAAATGTTACACTCGCCTGTCCATCTATAAATTAGTTATACTAATGCTACGAGTAAATTAATCAACAAAATTTTTAAAGTATTACACATTCTAAATTGAGTCGAACTTTTGCACCACTATACTTCTGATACTCTTACGTGGACGGTGCTACTATATTAAAAAACTGCTAATTGTAAATGGCGATCCTAACTGGCCGTGTTATGCTTTAGTAATCCTATGAAAAGGGAAAGGCTAAGCTTTCAAATGGTTTTTCTTTTGCCTTAAGGGCAAAAATTTTATGCATTTTTTAGAACACTGAACTGAATCATTTGTACATTTAATACGGTAATTTGCTCCTTTATGATCAATTTTCTATTGTATGTCTACGTAAGATCTATCGAATAATGCTATAGTAAAAGTAAGTACGCGCAGTATTTAATTATCCAACAGAATGATAATTTTGAAATAGAAATTGAAACTACTGGGGGCGATAGGCCTATTTTTAGTCTTTTAGGATTGTTAGAAGAACTTAGTCAAAGTAATAGCATCAAGTTTTACAAAAATTACTAGTTCTTGTTCTAATGTTTTGAGGACGCTTTACCAAAATCAGATAATGCTGAATCGGCAATAAATTTTCGATGATAGTGTGCAAATTCGTAGACATCGTAGCTCGCGGATTCTATTGAAGTATAATTTTCTTTTTAATGATTCCTGCAAGTATCGGTAGGTATTACGAATATTTGAGAGTTTTTACTGTATTACCCAGTATCTATCCATGCTTTATTCTGCTAACATGATGCTAATATTATGTTGCCGTTTATTCAAAATACGGTATGAAGACTCTATTCTAGCAAATACTCACTTAAATGCGATTTAAATTGGATGTAGCAAACATTGACTAGTCCTTCTAGTAATTATACGCTGTATTGCAATTTAAGAAAAATGCCATATTTCCTATACTTTCTCGGCTAATTCTATACAAATTTGGCATTTTTAAGTCGATAAACTGTCACGCCTATTTAATATATCGACTTAGAATATCGAATTTTTATGAAAATGATGAGGCAGTATGCAAAGTATTTTCACTGTTGCATAGCGAATTAAATGATTGAGCCATAGGCAAAATACATAACTATACAATCAACTTCCTTATTAACATCAAATTATATCAAAGATTGAAAGCGATCAAGCGAAGAAGGAATAACGGTGTTGAATTAAAAGAATAAGACAAGTTCATTGTATTCACGGAATACTGCTATGTCGTGAGATCCCGATATGAATGATAGAAATAGACAATAATTACGGTAAAATTTAGACTTGAATAGATTTCTTCCAATTGTAGAGCCCTAAGATAATATGAGCTTGGACAGCATTGTTTTACCTTGAGTCATGGTATTTCAAAAATAAATAGGAATATTCAACCTTCAGAATGGTGCCAGTTTCATATTGTGGCAGGAAGTTCGATTAGTGTTAACTGTATGGATTTAAGATTAACTTGCAATGCAGTCTGAACGTACAGTTTCGCGATCAATCAACATAAAACATTTATAAAATGTTGGCCTTACATCCTTGATAAATAAGTATCGAACTCTATCTAATGCAGTATCCTATACAGGTATTGCATCAGATATATAGGATGAAGATTTTTCCTGTTAATAGAATAGCTATCTGTAGAAAATCTTGGCAGTAATCGTTTACAGATTTTGAAGAGTCAACAGATCATGTACAACAATTTAAGTATATTTTATGACGCAACTGACTTAAAAGATACGTTCTGTAATCTTGTTAAATTGTGTCTAAGCATAATTTCCTTATACACTATATCCAATTGCCAAGCGGCTTAAAGAATGATCAAAATAAATTTTCGTTAAACAGTAAATCCTTTCTTCAGCTCGTTATGAAAATATAAAATATTATTAAATATTACATCATTAAATGATTCTGCAGTCTCTCTTAGGCATTTGAAATTTCGTACAACTTTTGTTTAGGTGGTTACCATAGATAATTGGAAATAATTTTATAATTTATATGAGATATTACACTGAAGTCATTTAGAATCGGAAAAGACGTATCTTAGCTGTTTTAATAACTGTGACTAGTTTTATGATCGAAATGATGGCTAGAATCTATATTTTGTGATAGATCAGATACTCATAATCAACCATGAAAGTAGATGTTAGAAGTTTCAGTATAAATGATATAACATGTTCTGCTATACATGAAACTGAATTTGAATACTAGGATCGCTCTGTACGGCTGGATAAATAAAATGACAAAATTAAAAATAATCCATTATAATTAGGGTAACAACTATTAGAAATTATTATTTCATTTTGCATTGGCTAGTTATTTTATTATCTAATAATCGTTATGATACCAGTAATTGTTTCCTATAGGATAGCTATAAATAGAATAATAATAGTCATATTACATATGAGCTTTAAATACCATAATAAAACCACTGATGGTCCTGCTAAAGGATATCCCAGAAAAGTCAATTATTTATAGTGATACTTTCTATCATCCACTGCCACTCTTATCTAACCGACTGATCTTTGTAAATTGTCTTACTAATAGGAAAAAGACTATTTTGAGTAATGAATCAATCAGAAATCGAGAACGCTAATATGAGTGCTAATATAAGTTCCACATTTCGTATTCTTCAAATTGCACAACGATTTTTTGTGGTGCCTTCTTTAACTGCTTTAATATTAAATGGCGCAATCTTACACACAATTACTAAAAGCAAAAATTTATCTAAATTGCCCACTTATCATCTCATTGCAAATATGGTTGGTTCTGATCTAGCAACTGGAATTACATTTTCTATCTTACCATTTGTGTCATCATTTCCCTTGCCCTTTGTAATGGCTGATATAATTTGTCGAGCTCTATCGTATATAATTGGAATGTCCTACATGGCTTCAATATTGACTTTAGTGGCCATAAGTCTAGATCGATATTTGTCTATTTTAAAACCTCTATTACTGGCATCAAGACAGAAAAAGCTTATAGTATTTAAGCGCCTTATTGTTGCCATCTGGATTATTAGCATAACAGCCTCTTTACCGCTAATATACGTTACAGGGACGATACCAGGCTCAACAAATTCTTGTGCTGTTTTGCAACGAGATCACTTTAACTTTATTTATTTTATCACAGTAACTGTTTTGTTGTATGTCGCTCCATTGGTTACCATGTCAGTTCTCTACAACAAAATTTATTGTTTCTTGGTAGCTAAAGCAAAGATTTGCAAAGCAGAATCAAGCGATCCAAGCAAGCAAACAGCAGTCGCTTCTTCTTTTTTAACTAATGATAAAAGAAAGGCATTGGTGAAAACATTAATCATCATAACAACAGTATTTGCAGCAATGACATGGCCATTTTTTGCTATGGCATCCGGTATGGCTGTGACAGGAATTGATATTCGTGACTTAGAACGAAAAAGTCTGTTTCTTTTCCTTTTATGTGCTGTTGCCGCTTCAAGTACCGTTATGACTTCGGTGGTTAATCCGATATTGTTAATTCGTTTTGATAAAAATATCGGCGCTCGAATAACTCGTCTCTATGGACAGATAAAAAGAGGGATGAATATTAGCAATGAAAGCTCTAGTAACTTGCCGACTGCCGCGTCTAAAGAAACTCCAGCTTAAAAATTTTGTAAATTATCTCCTAATTTACTTCCGTGTTTGCATAGAAAGTACAATTGATCATAGTCATATACCGTACTATAAATAATATATAATCGGCCATTTTGCAAAATGTACCAATATTAGAAAATACTTTAGTTATTTTCCTTTCTCCTATCTGATTGTTTGGAAATATAACATTGACTTATTCGTAGTCTTTTCTTAGCTTTACTAAGTAAACTGTAGCTTTAAGATCTATCATGAATGGTCTAATGGTCCTGAATCCAATTTCTGAAGTGCCTACTTAATTTTTTAAAAATAAAAGACACCTCTCTCATGAGGAGCATCCTTATGTGCATCGATAGTGATATTTGGCGTTACTACGTGAATTGATTTAGAAATGTATGTAATTACGTTAACATAACTCATTTGTTTTATTTAAGCTCATGAACTTCATCATCTTATATGAGATTAATTACCTGGTTGCAGTCAGTTTTTCTGGATGTTGTAGTAGCTGACTGAAAATTGGAAATAGAATGAAATGATTAGTTACTGATTAATTACTGATTGTAATATTTCGTCTGAAATGATTATCTATTCTTATATTTGCGATTACGTAGTGCTCGTAACTTATTTCTTCTTTAAAAATAACAATTACTATCAATGGAGGTTGGATAAATTCTAGGAGATGGAAAATCTCACAACTGTAGTCTGTATGTATAGATTCTTTCGTAGATCAAGACTTGCATCTTCGTTCTGCACTTCAGAAGCATGCTTTTAAAGTGATTAATTATATGAATGTTATACGCGTCTAATTTCGTTAAAAATGCGTGAAATAAAGGTAAATAAGATTCCAAAGGTACGCTGTTAAATGACTTAATGTTTTAAAAATGTTAAACATCGGAATCACTTCAACTTAAACGGGCATTTGATACTATATCTATTCATTTCGGAGATTTTTGATAAGAATTATAACCTTAACAGAGTCAGCAGTAGAAGATATTTGATATTAAAAGATATAATTTGTTAGTTTCTATTACTAATTCTGTATATTTCAGTTCATCGTTAAACTGTAATGCACGATGAGAATATTAACTTAATTGGCTTTCGATTTACTCCATATTAAGAGGCTGCTAAGGATTCTTCAAAGATTTGGATCATCTTTCAGTCGACTTCTTTCGATTACGCAGATATTATGCCAGCCTATAATAACAGATTATTGTTTCACTGCTGTGTAGATTGCAACGCCTACTGTAATAGTTAGAAAATGTAGGAATCTCAGTCTAAGATTACGTGCAGGTATTTTCTATTTCTATTTGTAAGTTATTCAAAGCGTTAGCAAGATAGTATAACAGTTCACGAAATTTTCTCACAATGTTTCGCCAAAATATCGCTTTTAGCTTTGTCATCTTATTCATAGTTGGATAATTAGAAATAACAAAGACTATGAGAAAACTTTAGAAGCTAGATCTGCTAATAGAGGATTGTCTAGATCGTAACTATGCACAGGCAATGGAAATATTAACCGTAAATAAGATTGTTTTTTTACGATTAATGTTGCCATATCTTAATATTGTCTAATTTGATAACAAACGTAGGTTTGCTATCGAAATCAAGATTAGACTGAGCAGAACTATTATTAAATTGATTTTCTTGAAATTCGGTTATATAAAATTTCGATATAAGGAAAAATTCACGATCTAACTTATGAAACCTAATTGGAAATTTTATTGTCAAATCAAACCGATAGAGTCAAACTCTAAATCAATTAACTACAGAAGAACAAAAGATAGATTCAACGTACTATAACATGCACAGATACAGATGACCTTAAATCAAATGGGACAAGAAAGATAATTCGCTTTCTCACGGTTGAAGCAATTACTGATGCATAATGACAAACTATATGGCGTTGGAATTTCTAAATTTCTTAGTAAAAATTTTATGATTAATCGATTGAATTCAACTTAAAAATAAAACCTATCGCACTATCTGACACACTGTCTGACTTATTGTCACCGAAAATAGATATCTTATTTTTTAATGACAAAAATACACCGTAGATATTTCTGGTCTTCTTTTTTCTCGATATACTTATTAAGATTAATCCTCCTTGATAATTGAACCGTTTCCTTAAGTTTCATACCTTATTTTAAAATACGTTAGAGCATGCATCTAACACGAAGCCATCATGATTAGAACACGACCTGACCTTTGAGCTCTTTTAACAAAATTAGGTATCTCACTAATTCATTCGCCCATACTGGAAAATGGATTAGTTTTACAATCTATAACCTAACGACAAGCTGTCAAGTGTTTATAATGATCAATATAATGTATCAATACTTAATGGTAGTTTTTAACATCGTGACACGTATGCAAACTAAAATATTTTAAATATAAAAGCTCTGAATATGAAAATTATCTTTTTATTTCATGTAAATCTAATTGATGGAAGGACCATAGAATTTAAGCTTAATTTCAATATTTAAGAACAGCCTTGGTCATCCCTTGGTATTTTAATAGACTTAGATATGACCTTACACTATTCCTAACCCTTACTCTAACCCCAAATGCTCGTAAATTAACATCATAATTTTATTCCAAGAGTTTATATATGCAAGATTCTCATAAAATTTAAAATAATTAACGGTTTTGTCGCGTAATTATTTTTATAAGCGGAAAACTTGTTGTACCTCAATAACTAATCATTGAGATGAGTAATGTTTTAACCTTGATCAGTTAACGTGATACGGTGTAGGCTCGTCAAAGACTGAGTGCAGCACCCTGATCTATTCATCATTAATTAGCGATAAAAAAAAACTAACAATGATTGTTTACGAAGGTTCTTCAACCATTCAAAAATTAATTAGAACTTAATTGAGTCTGTACGTCTATTGTCATATTGTATTAACCCACTAATTGTTTAAAACGAGAACTTTGATTATTCATAATTTCCAGGTATTAAATTATGGCATTGCTAGCTCAAAGTAACCATGCTTAAGTCAAGTCTGAAGTTTTTGTCTCCTTCCGATAGACAGAATTAAATGAAATGCGGTCTTCTATTTCTTTTGATAAAAAGTTTAAAAGAGACGAGATTTTATTATTATTTTTTGATTTTATTACTTACTATGGAAAATAGCACTTAATACTTGATACAATAAGGGGTCTAGCTCATCATAATAAAATTGCAGCCTCCATTTCTGTAACGTCTATCACGTACTTATCCGAGTTTACTGTCTACTAGGATGGATGGTCGGGAAGTAGGTCTATTTTACAATATCACAACTATCGCATTACTGTCTAGCAAAATGGCTGTACAACTAATAGAAAAACTTACAAGCTGGTATCGGAAGTATAACTGCTTCAATTCTTTGAACGACAGTACGTTTGTAATTAAATATCTCAACCATATCTCATCTTTATTTGTAAATATATGTTACAGTGTTAAATACTGTATTACAGTAGAAATAACTATGTTAGGATAATTCTGTTAGACTATCCTTATTTAGTTAACTTCTAATTTGGATATACTGTATTTTAATATAGCACTGACTTTTTATGACAGTGACACTTATACACATACTGAAATTAATAGTTATGATAGGGAATGCAAATCATCTGCTTACAGTTCGAATCATTGTGATTGTAATTTACTTATGGTAGACTGTAAATTATCATGGAAATGTTCCGTGATAGGACATATCGTAATCTGACTATTCTGTATTAGTCATTACATGTCTATGTTCGTAAATACTGTTGTCTGCATTAAGGGAGCAGTAGCTAAAATTAATATCTAATTCAGTAAATGATTCTAATGTTAATTGTATTAACTATGACTCATGAACTATAGAGGAATAGTATATAAATGCAGTATATCGTGAAATAAAGAAGAATTGTCCAACTTAGTGTTTAACGTAAATTACGAGGCGTTTAAGTCTTTGTGTAGTCTGCTAGAAGAGCAAAAGTGTTCGTGATAGTGCAGATATCGTTCCTTGATACGTGGTTCAAGGAATTGACTTATTGATCGTATATTGCGTTATCTTGTTGCAAAGCTGTTTTGTGACAATATATTAGGAAACAGATTTTCAAGACCCTTGACACAAAAAGCCTACTTTTAACCTCAAGAGTGAAGAAGCTGTGTAGCGAAATGATACCAAATGTAGCCATATTTTATTTATTGAAAATGCAACATTTGAATAAAGCCTGTAATAATAAATTCATACTGTTTTCAACTATCGCATATTTACTGATATCAAGACATGATATCAATAATGGTGTAATAACCGTCGTTGAATCGAATTTTTATCCTTCAATGAATGATGATCAGGTAGATTTTTGAGCTACATAAAAGGTTTGTAGCATGTGATAAAAGTTTTATCCGTAACGATTATTTGCAGACTAATTCTCGATAAAAGGATAGACCATATACTGTACTCGTACGTTCCTAAAAATGGATAGATTGATTTGATGTAACTATGATTTTTTCGAACGTTGAGATCGTCATAAATTACTAATAGGTACAAGTACGATTCTACTAGTTACAAGAAATTACCAAAGAATTTTATAAGTTCATCGTAACAATTTAATTGGTATGTAATGTATGCCCTTTCAATCTTCTTGTTGTTCTATAGTACATTAAACATTTAATTGTGAACAACGCTGCACCCAACCATCTGAATTAATATTTTTTGGACACTTAGTTGAAACTGTCCTACTGGTGTATTATGCCCTTAAGAACATGTCGATTAAAAATATTTGTCAATACGATGATTTTTGGGTTGCGCAAACTTATTTTATTTTTCGTCGTGTAAAAAGAGTTAACATTATCATTTTTATAGTCAATACAGAAAATGGCGGTATTTACAATTTTTTTTTTTTCAAGACGTGCTCTTAAGTACAGTACATACTACACCAGTTGGACAGTTTCGAGTCTACTAAAAGCGTATAAAAAACATTAATTCAGATGGTTGTGTCTATTGTACGGTGAGTATTTTGGTTTCTCTCTCATTCTAGATTACTCTCTATTCTCAATATTACTTAACACATGTTTCTCTAACTTGCACTTCTCCTATTGCAAATATCTGTTTATTACTCATCTCAACTATGTGACAATAAACTTCTTTCCTGTGCGTTCCAGCCCTCATACTGTACTATCTACTGTGTTGTGCTATACTGTATGCCTTGATAATTAATTAATTAATCAGTTAATATTGAAGCTCTGCTGGTAGGATTACTCTTACTATCCTTGGACTTTTAGCTAGGGATGTGCAAAGTCAATCTGAAAGCCAACTCGAGGGAGGAAATTTGTAGCCATATTTGTAAAATTATTAGCTGTAAAAGTACAGCACTGCATATTGAAACATACAGAAGTTGTCCCTTTGCAGCAAAGTCAAGCCGAAACCCAACTCGAGCGAGGCATTTGTAGCAATATTGGTAAAATTACGAGCTGTAGAAGTATAGCACTGTCACAACGTCGTTTGTAACAATCGAGTTCCCTTTCCACACTTATCCTACTCTCTTCTGTCATACAGTAAAACTGCTACCAAGCGTCACTATTCACTCTTCTTCAGCGAAGGACCTCAGCGGACTAGAAGCGTCTGGATAAATTTACTAAACTAACTTTATTAAGTCTCCTTATTTTCCTCCTCTCCAGCGAGGTAAATTACCACCTCTTATATACTTGTATCAATTCTACACCTTTGCAATCTGTTAATTATTCTTATACATAACTTAGTCTTTTCTATAACTTTGTAATCCTATTAATTACTATCGGACAAATATGTGTTAATTGATATTATGCGCTAATAATATTATAGCCCCAATTAACAACTTAAATCCTGTTTAAGATTTAACAGATTCCCTACAAGTGTGACAACCGCCATTTTGGTTATTACACGTCATTGGCATATTAAGTACCTTACTTCTACACATTCGTTAATGGAAGTCCTTTAACGATTGAACCTCACAATTTTTCAACAGATCATAATATTTACGATTATCTAAACGTAACCGTCTACTTCTACTTCAATAACATTATCACATTGTTAATTAATAATATCTTAAACCATAACAAGCACTGTCACACACCACTAGTGACAAAGTAGTCTACACACGCCAATCCTTGCGGAGAACGCCACTTACTGACTTAAAGAGGCGAAATTAGCTATATTACTAAATAATTCAGTCCCAACGACCGAATACTATAGTATAATTATAGCGTCACTGATAGTGTAGACGAGGTAGTCAGAGATTTACTACTATTTATTACTGAAGAAATCTTGGCACCCAAGATTATAGTCTTTACAATTCAATAGCAATTGATAAACTAGTTGACTATCTAACCGACCAACTAACTAAAAAGGGATGCACAACAGTAAAAATGTTTCCATTCTCAGCGATACCAATCATTTGTAAAATTACTAGCTGTAGAAGTCTACAGCAATGTATATTGAATCATATAGAAAATCTCAATTTGCAACGAAGTGGAAGAAGTGTAGTATTAATCCATTATTGGCACTCTACACTGTACAGATACAGTGTTTGTATAGCGATTGCATTCATTTCGGGTTAGAAAATCAACAATTTGATTAAGTTGGGGTTGCCTTTTTGCTCCATTGCACAACATTGCTTTTAGCGATCAACAGTGGTGGATAAGCTATCAGTATGAATTATTCGGTACACTGAACAACAGTAAAAATGTTTTCATTCTCAGTGGTACCAATATTTGTAAAATTACAGGCTCGAAGTCCATTGAAACATATAGAAGCTCTCAATTTACAGCGTAGTGCAGGAAGTTTAGTCTTAATTAATTCATTCCATTTCTTGATTGGCATTGTACACGAACGTGCAATGTCTGTTACTGTAGAGTATAGTGCACAATGGGCCAAATAAGATACAGCGCTGTAGACCTGTATAGCGGATAAGCCGGTAAGAGCTACCGTATAGGCGGATCGCCGCCGTTGCACATCTTGTTGTATTAATTAATCGTTTATAGTTTGTCAACCAAAAACGTTCAATGTCGCGGCTGATTGAGTTCTATTATGATGTTGCTTGTCCCTTCTCCTACCTCTCTTCTTATGCTATTCGGCCATTGCTAAGAAATAAGGAGGTAAAAGTACTATGGAAGCCGATTACTATTGGTAAGTATTACGAAGCAGCGTTGTGACAAGGTTTACTTGAAAACGAATTTGTAAATTTTTAGAAGTCTCAGGGATTCAGTATCGCTTATCTACTCACATCAGCTTAGATACCTTTGCTCCGAAGTCACTCAACGAGGAACTGATTTTATTGAACTGTCTGCCGAGCTAGTATTAATGAATCATCTTGTAACAATACTTATCGATAGAAACATCTATTGACTAATTTAACGTAATTGGGCTGCAGTATGTTCAATCACAGAATCATTTCAGTGCTACGACTAAGATCTATTTGACAGTAAGATAAATCCAGCTGTATTAATGAATCACCTTGTAATAATATTTATCGATAGAAACATCTATTGACTAATTTAACGTAGTTGGGCTTCAGTATGTTCAATCACAGAATCACGACTACGATCTATTTGACAGTAAGATAAATCCAGCTGTATTAATGAATCATCTTATAGCAATACTTATCGATAGAAACATCTATTGACTAATTTAACGTAATTGGGCTTCAGTATGTTCAATCACAGAATCATTTCAGTGCAACGATTACGATCTATTTGACGGTAAGATAAAACCAGCTGCAATCGTACTATTAAGCGAAGCAATGTTTTACTGGGCACCGCTTGCTGGATCGAGCGACATTACAAGCTGGGAGCTGCCCGACCCTACCCTACTGCTCGTTGCTAGTGTTGTTGATACTACTATTTTTATTTCTAGCCCTACGTGAGGCCAAGGGGAGTCCTAATATTCACATGTTGATAGGTACTGGTTGATGAATTCGAAAAATCACAACAATGATCATTGATGGATGTAATTTGATGAAAGTCAAAGTGGATGAATTCTTTTCACTCTTAATTAAATAATTGCTGCAGCTACTTAAATAATATCATAGTTCATACTCGTAATGCAAGGGCTTTTTCATGATAATGCGAGTATATAAAATAGTTCCAGATGATAGTGAATATTATAGTTCTACTTTGGAAGGTAACGATCTACAAAAATATATCCAAATGCATTTCAATCATGAATTATATATTAATGTTGGATTGTAAATGTTGCGTAACAATATGGTTTTGCATACCTTGCACATAATAGAATAACATATTGCAAAACTTCGCTTGCCAAGTGGCTAAAATTTATTATTTTCAAGTAAATTGGTGATCCTTATGATACTAAACGGGTACATCAACATCAATACTATAACTGCTAACCTTAACCGCCCTTACACGTTCGCGTAACAAATAATAAATAAGATCTCGCTGCATTTCACCAGTGCTCTCTCATTGCTATTTAGTAATATTCGCCAATATTATTTTTTAGATACTAAATAGACCACAATTTCGTCATTATTAAAGTTAAAGATTAAATCTGACAAATGTACTTAGTCGCCAGCTGGAAAGTGTTGTTTGTTATGTCGTTCATGCATCTGCCGGACTATCTTAAAGCCATAGCAAACTTTGGCCTCATTGTAAATATGGAGCTTAATGCAATCCTATGTTGGTTTTATCTCGTATCGTAGGTTCAATTTTAGGAAATACAAGCACCGACGATGGAATTCGTAATTCTTCCAAGTTGAAATGGATGCAGAGAGGTCGTCACTTTTCGTATCATGTACAGTAGGCGCATAGTAATTTTCAAATTAGTGACGTTAATGAACTAAAGTTAACGTGTACAGTATTTGTACCTTATAAATGCCATCTAAATATCTCAAGGCATTAACTTAATACTGCTATACGGTTTGCACTTATCCTGACTCTACTTATTCTCTCCTCTTATATCAACTATAGACCTTCAAATAACAGCAAAAAGGCTGCAAATACCAGCTCATTTGGAAGCTAAGAACAACAATCTCGAGCGCAGCCACAACGCTCAAAGATTATTAGCATCAATTGATGACAATACCATCAGGCAACAGTTGTCTGTAGCTTTATATCAACAGTACTGGGAGAGGAATTCTGATATTCTAGAAAGCGAAGTTAGTATAGTGCCCTTAAAGTAGTCAATTCCAACGAGATTGAAAGATTGCCTTAACAAGGAAATGATAAACGCCTATTTCGTTATAATTACTACAAATGTGGTACTAAAGAGAGAAATTTTTTGATAATTTACTTTAGTGCAGATTCAATTGTAATTATATGCCTTTATGCCCATATATTAGCTTCAATGTTCATATGAATAAGTATTAACTAAACTTGCTATTGAAAGTCATTAGAGTCTGTGGTAAAAGAGCTTGGGCTATCAGTGAATGTTAAGGAGCAAATAGACAAAGGGGAAAGCCAATTACAGTCGTTCAACGAGGAAGCATCTGAAAGAGGTGTATATCGATTGCCCAGGCACGTAATTCCGTCAATATGGTAATGATAAAGTGCTATTTTTGTCGCAGCTTAATTTTGATTCAACTTTGAATATAGTTTCTACGTCTCGGGAAAGCTATTTCGTGGAGTTGATAGATTACATTTTGTGGAAAGAGCCATTGGCAACAAATCTGCAAGAGAGTTGAGATTAGCAACACCGGATTCTGCTGCCGCTAGTCGTGATGCTAAGTTGACATTTTATTTTGATTTTAGCAGTTACTGGAGCTATATAGCATCTATTCGCGTTAGTAGATGAAATAATATTGATGATATTCTAATCTGAAGATTATATGATCGTTAAACCAAATTTCACTAATGTAAAATATTTACTAATTCGCTGCAGCTACCCAACTTTGTGAAAGAGCTGAGTCCTATTAACGTAGAAGTTGAGTATGTGCCTGTTGTTATTGGAGGAATCTTCAAAACTCTAGGAAACCCGATCGTAAGTTGAACATAATTTGGATGTATTAGCTAGCCATAGTCTTTCATAGCTTTTCATGTTATCTGAGTTTAAATAATACCTGGCTGTTGCTTGATGTTACAGGTACCAATACAAGCAATAAAGCCTGCCATAGTGAAAGCAACCATGGCCGATATATATGATCATCTAGATTATCTAGGAAATGGCAGCTTTAAATTTAATGCTAGCTTTCCCATGCCAACAATCACGCCATTACGTGCGACAATTGTTAACAACAGCTCCGAGCTTCGCAGTAGAATATGTAAGACTATTATGTACATGTAGTTAGATATGATAACTAGAATTTAATACTTCTAATTGTTTTATTAAGGAAGATGAAGATAACATAGTTCTATAGATACAACCATAATAAAGAATATTAGTAAGCAATATTTTCTCTAATCTCAACCAGTTAAAGCTGCCTGGGAAGAAAATCGGAACATTGGTGATGATAAAGTAAGTTACTTTACATTTAATTTTCGATATCTATATTACGCTGAGAGTAGTTCATTAAATAGCTGATACTTTTAAAATTTATTATAACAACGATTACAGGTTGTAGCCGAAATAATTGAAGAGAGTGGCTTAAGTTCTTCAAAAATTTTAACAGAAGTTAAAAGTGACCAAGTCAGAAACCAACTAAGGCACAATACCACCAGGTTACGGTCTCGTATAATACAGATTGATTACATCTTTCAGATATTTATAAATTTTCACTTTTTAATATTGATTTTATCATGTCTTTTTTATTAAAATACGAATAGGGCTCTCGAAAATGGAGCATTCGGTGTTCCCACCTTCCAACTTAACGACGGACCTATAATCTTTGGGCAGGATCGATTGAACGTCTTAGCGGATATGATATGTGGCTGGAATTATAGTTAATGTAGATGTCTTTCATAGTTTTGATTTTTATTTACTATTATAATGATACTGTAACAATTAGTTACGAATTAATATAAATTTCTAATTATCAAAGTGTTAAGTCTTGCAGGAAGCTACCGCTATTTAAATTCCTGATGCTTAGCCTTTAAATACCAGTATACGTTACGTTTGTTGGCTACTATATCTTTCCAGGTTGATAGAATAAATTTCAGAAACACGGTTTGCACTTCCTATGTAGGGGCTGATAGTATGTATACGTACGAAAGATTTAATTTTACTTTGTTAGTATATTGCTTCTACATTGCTTATAAATGCAATAAAGCAATATTTGTATGGTCACCATAATGCACTGCTTGAGCATGCGAACCCGTCATCTGAATATTTTTTCATTTAGAACAATGGAGACAATAAAAATCGAAGCAGACTTACATAACTGCCTTAAGTTATTACATAAGTGACTAAATTCCCAATCAGTATTCCCTTCCAGAAGCTATAATAATCTTGTCGATAAACTTATTTGATAAAATTTATTATCAAAGATATTGCAATTGTATTTATTTACTTACCAATTAACATAGCAGCAATACATCCTATTCTACTGATATTTTAACACAGAATTCAGAATCCCTTTTCAGCGATTAAGGGGTTTACAATATAACTACATCATCACCAAAAATTTATTAACACAGGTATAGTATCTTAATTGCTGAGATTACGAATGCGATTTTAGCCTACCAGTGCTTGAGATATTTCATCCATTATAACATTAGATTTTACAGTAGTCTATAAACCTTAAGGTAAATCTGACATTATAATGCGAAAGGCAACTAATACGTGATTGGCATTCAGCTAGATGAAAATAAGTTCCATTTGCATTCTCTTTAAAAACATGCAGCTCCGTAGGTAGACAGTCATACTTTAGAGTTGTTAAGACTCCACTGATGTATCATAAAAATTTACGAAGTTGTGTTCCTTCAGAAATAATGGTAGCCATAGAGTTTCAATTATCAAGATGAACATATTCTTTTTCTTCCAATACCATTCACATTTTTAGAACAATAAACTACATTCCTTTCTAGAGTTCATACCTAATTTTAATAAAAGCATAACCATTAATCGGTCGTTATAGCATGAAATATAGCGATGGCGATACGCTAGCAATTATCATATCACTTAATAGCGATTAACAACTTATTAATGAGATACGATATCTTACGTCTTTTGAGACGAATAGTTACTTCGCGTCTTTTTATAGTTTAGAATTATTTCCTGGTACGTATTCCCAACCGCAAATCATATCAGCAACGATATTCATTCTGTCCGCACCAAAGATTGTAGGTCCTGAGTTAACTTGAAAGCTCGGCACGCCAAAAACTCCAGCTTTGATTGCGCTATAAATTTAGATCAAAATTTATAATCTATTCTGCAGCCAATCATGATATCAACACTTTACATAGGCCTTTACTAGCATACCGCATAACATTATTTTTAAGCTGTGACTTCACACTCGCTTCTTGTGCCTGCTTAAGAAGTGTTGTCGAATTTAAGCCGGCCTCTTCAATAATTCCGGCTAGTACCTACGAATCAAAGCCAATAAAAAATAAACTAAAATAAACGATAATTAATCTAAAAAGAATAACCCTATAGTGATAATTCACCTCAGTCTTAGAAATGTTCTGATTATTGATCCAAGCTGCTTCAACTATTAGTAAAATTATCATAGTAAAGCTGTTACATAAAAAATTTTTTCTTGTAATAACGGCACTAACAGTAATAACCACATACATATTCTTCTTCGAAGATCTGCGCTATCATTAGCTATAGCAACTCGAAGAGACATCAACGTTTGTATAGGAAAATGAGAATTCATTTTAAGAGTTATATTTCCAAAGTGGTGAAGGTATTCATGCATATCTGCTCTGCTTGCACGAACTTTCGATCGCTGTATCTTCTGTACCGGAATCTAGCAACAGTATTACGCATCACTACTTAATGATCATTTCAATTCTGCTGGTATTGGACACAAACTAGATTTTGTGGTTGCGATTTGAACATAGCCAATGTTACTTACAATTGAAGTGCCTAGTGCTTGCATAATAGCGCCTAAAATTACTGGCACATATTCAACCTCAACATTTACTGGATGTAATTCTTTCAAGAAAGAGGACATCTAAGGGCAAAGATAGTGCAATGTTATATCATCATTCTATGGTATGCTCTGTATCAGATAGGCTAGCTGAAAGCATCTAATTCTTAATCATATACATAAGTATTAGCAATGTGACTCCATGGGCTGGCAAAATCAAAGTAGAAGGTAAGTTTAGCCTTATGGTCGGTAGCTACATTATTCGGTAGTGCTAATCTTAACTCTCTAGCCGATGGATTACCAAGAATCTTCTCTACAAAATGCAATCGATCCATTCCATGATAAAGTTTGCCGTCAACAAAGAAGCTATAAATAAAATATTCGTACGTACGCGTACTGATGTTAAGATTTTATGCAATTCTATTGGTTTGCAGAGCAAGCAACGGTAGTATTTGAGATAGAGAATCCATTATCCCGAGCTTACCCTGGTAGACGGTAGACACCTTTATTGGTTGATTCAGTATTAAAATTGTTTAAATTATCAGCACCGATTTCAATCTGTTTATTAACATCCATGGATAGTCCCACATCGAGGGCTACTTCTTTCAAATTCTTCAATAGTAACGAAAATATAGAAAATCTTAGAATAACTTTGAAGAATATAACCCTATTGCTAAGAAGTATTATATGGTTCGAGCTCGGAATAGAAAATTAGTTATTCAATTTTTAGGCAAGTCCATTTAGCATGCAGTTGGTCAAACCAGATCCTACTTTTTCCTTTAGAAAGAAATCACTTTTTACGCTTTTTAATATCGATAGTATCCTCTAAAACTGTTCGAATAGCCCTTGATTGTTAATGTAAATTCTAAAACTGATTTAAGATGAATCTCTTTTACTTAAAGCTGCTACGTTATTTTAGTGTGCGTAATCTAACATACAATTAACCACATTATGTCTAATTTTATTACGTACGATGGAATTGTTGCCTATAACTAATATAATATAACATACAAATATAATCGTTTTGTATTGAAATAGTAATAACCTGTATGCTCTGAATATCTCCTCCATTTTGCCAATAGTGTCTAAATAAAGCCAGCGATAGTTTTTGACGGTTACTATTATCATCTATTGAAGCAAGCAGCCTCTGTGCACTTCCTCCTTGATCTAAATGTTTCGCTTGTCGCCTAATGGGAACTTGCAGTCTGCTAATCATCATCTGTAAATCTATTCATTGAGATAAACAGAAGCTATTAATAATCTGTTTTCGACATTTTGAAACTAGTATCTGTCTGGCCGTCTAAATATAGTACATAAAGTGCATGCTGAGGTAAGTTTCTCAACTTTCAAATATTTAGCCATACTTGAAGAAGAGTATACAAGTAAAGGGAAATGTTCTATTTGCAATTCCCAGAGTAACTTCAATTGTAAATAAATCTCACTCAACATGATCGGTTGCAGTCATTGCATTTAAGCTAATACATCACAAAACTTAACTAACATTTGCTCTTTCTATTTAAGCTTATATAAGATAAGATAGCTGACAGTGTTGATCTGAACATTAAACTGATTTATATTTTAAACACAAAGAGCATATGTAGGCTTTCATCAGCTTCTTATAGAAGTTTCAGCTATATCCATTTGATTTTGGTAGTAGTACCTTGATAGATCCAATTTGACTTCGACGAGCTAGGACGATCTACTATCGGTGATCCAATAACGGTGCCGGGGTCTATGCTTCCTACATCCACATAAAATAGAATAAGTGCATAGCAAAATTCATCTAACTATAACGTTGATCAATGCAGGGTAGTCACTGTAGTTGGAATATCGTACATTATTTAGCTAATGTAAATTATAATGTTAAAGACTCGCAACAAGCTAGCACTGATACAGCAACTTGAAAATGAATCGACACACACACGCAATTACTATTAGTCTAGCATGTCATGTACAAGATCCTTGGATATTAAATGCTGTAGAAATACGATCCGATTATTCTATAAAAGTAGAGAGTATGCAATAAGCATAGGACATTGTCGACAGACAGAGTTTGAAATATGACCACTTTAGGAGGCTTAGTACGAATAATGCAATGGTATAAAGCTGTGGAATTCATTCATTATACCCGATAGTATTCACTTGTTGAAATTGAAATGATGTACAACTTTACAATTGAACAGTGTGTAACTCGAAACTACTATAAGACGAGGAGAAAGAGATGGGCAGATCTCTGCGCAAAATGGGGAGGTTACAATTCGATTGACTGATGTTTTGGTTTTGTATACGGTGTAGCAGTACATTTAGAAAGAAGAAACAGTAAAAATGGAGAACTTACCAAAATGAACAGGCTTCCAAATTACCTTTACATCACTTCTACTAAGAAGTGAACGCAATGAATACGTTGCAACGTAGGAAAATGGACATGCAATATCATAATAGAATTCTACCAGACGTGCCATATTTTCTCAGGATTGTTGTTGCAATGTGCACCAGCAAGTGTCTCACCACTACTGTACTGTACTGGGGAATAAATAATTATAAACTATACTGTTCCATATAATCAATCATTACAGTATCCAGTACTGTCCTGTACAGTGTATTGTACAGTATTTGTACTGTAAAAAGTGAGTATACTGTACTGAACACGTCTAGTACTGTACTAATGTGTTTATTTTCTTTCAGACTCCGAAGTAGAGAAATTTATTAACATTATCGTAAACCGTCAGCAAAGCGATGTGAGTTTGTACTAGTATTACTGAAACTAAGGTAAAATTGCTTCACTTTATACCATTTTATAGCGATGCGAGAACAGTCGAAGCACATAGTAATCATTGGCCATGCAAAAGTTGGAAACGAAAAGAAACACATTGTACAATTCAGTGCAGTACTGTGCTCGATTCTGTTTTCTTGGTGAGTTGAAAAGGTCAAAGGTGTCCAAATTCTGGTCATGCGCCGATGTCCAAAGTTATGCTTACTATAGGTGTGTTGTTGTAGTCTGTAGGCGACTGAGCGTTATTGTCAATTGATGGCAATGCAATCACTTACTGTACAGTACTGTGTACTCTGTCCACTCTATTACATACTGTAAGGATAATGCGTTGGAAGTGTGAACGGCGTACTGTACGTATAGAAGCTGTCGCTTTTTCAATACTGTACAAGAAAGGGAGAATTGGAGTTAGTTGCTGATTAATTTTACACTAATTTCAACTACAGTACGTGTACAATCTCTTGTTTTCCATGCTGATTGAGAGTAGTACAGCACGAACCTTCAACACAGTTGTTCGTATTAACTCCAAATAGTACAACCACTTCCTGTACAGTGTGCACGGTCCACCCTATGATATACTTCGCTATATTTGTTCGATTTTGTTAAGATAATGCGTTGTAAGTGTGAACGGCGTACGTATAGAAGCCGTCGCTTTTTCAATACTGTACAAGAAAGGGAGAATAGGAGTTAGTAGTTGATTAATTTTACACTAATTTCAACTACGTGTACAATTTCTTGTCTTCCATGCTGATTGAGAGTAGTACGAACCTTCAATACATTTGCTAGTATGAACTCTAGTACTGTACACTTATTGTACTGTACAGTAGAATGCTGGTGGAGTGATTCAGTTGGTTCCTGACTACTGAACACTATACAAATGAACATCTTGATCCGCATACTGTACGATAGACAAATGACTTTGAAGAAGTTAGCATAAAATGGACTAGTTTACTGACCATTTCTTCTGGCCTAATTATTCCACTAAGCAAGGCCGTCGACGGGCTTACTTTCGCTGACTCACTGCTTACAGTGTACACAACTTATGCTCTTCATTAGCCGACAGAGCCTGCTGCATATGCCAGATTGTACAGTATATAGTACAGTACAGTAGAATAACATCATCAGTTTGCATTTGCATGCATTATCGATTGCTATGCAGTACAGTATATCACATGGATAAATAGCTATTATTGATAATGACACTACACGAATACGACAAGAAGATAAGCAATCGTGGATATCATAATTAAATCATCTACCTTTAAATGCACGCCTACATAGCATCAACATGCTATAACGGAGTACCAGTGACGCCTACTGCATTTTGCGGGGTTAAAAATCAACAACAAATTGTAATGTCCAACTACTGTTCTTAATGAGGGACTTGCAATTGAGACACCTGACTATACTGAACTATACAGTATGTACAGTACAGTATACTACAAGATGCTCATACAAACATAAACATTTGATATGCTGCATTTCCGTAGCAGATTTAATTCTAAAATGAAGTATCAATTTACGCTCAGTATACTTTACTGTCTAACCCCGTTTGAGATAACTTGCGGGAAATAAATAATAGCGTTGCTTTTTGGGAGATGTATAGAAAAGTAAACGAATTCGCAGTTGGCAATTACAGTAATTCCTATAAACTTACATCAAATAACGTTACTGTAATTCTACGCAGCACTTTGTGATTTTAGAACTTCTCTGACGGATTTTCACGATTTTAAAAAGTCCCTGATTTATAATTTATCTCTAGAATAACCTTGAAATTACCATGCCTAGAATCTTTACTGCTATTTTGCAAAGCCCATATGTTACAATATCAGCATAGCGTTATCTTGCTTATCACCGACTGTATAACCATTTACGGTGATATTGCCGTTGTATAGAACAAAAGCCGATAGCAGATATTTTCGTTCCAGACTCTGTTAAAAATCGAACTAGTATCGGATCACCGTTAGTTAAAAGCGATTGCTCATCAGGATGGAAAGAGTTACAACAATGAAACGTAATCTTATGTAATAAAGTGAAGTTTACAAGAAACTGTAGTTCTTTTGTATTTTTGAGAAGACACTTTATCATATCTGCGTAACTATAAACAAATTCAGTTTCAATTCGTGTCACAGAGGTAGTTGCTGAGGTTATAGAAGAAGCTGGGTATGACGCTAAAGACGTTCTATCAAAAGCTGAAGAAGATAATATCAAAGATCAGTTTACACAAAATATGTCTTGGTAAGATGGCAACTTTATGAACTCAAATTTATTATTATCAGTAATTACGCCTATCTGACTATGTCGTATTAACTCATCTATCTGCGTACAGTATACGCACATCTATCATTAATAATTAATTCATTAACTAGAGCCATAAAAGTTGGAGCGTTCGGTGTAACCGCTTTTCAAGTCAACGACGGTTCTCTAATATTTGGTCAGGATCGCTTAAATATTGTAGCCAATATGCTTTGCGGATGGGATTGTAATTTGTAATTATAAGCTAGTATTCTTACAGTAGATGCAATTTCATTCTGACTAATCAATGAATATTTCAGGTAGCTTTTACGCTAAGATTTCATATCATGCACTCGAATATAAGCTGTAGCCAGTATCAATAGATACAATACTATAGCCGAAGATTAAAATTCTCTATTAATAAAATTGATATTTACAGACAATAATCGTTGACTTTAGGTACCATAATATAAAAATGTGCAAAGTTATGACATGCTATAATACTGGAACTGAACTATACCGTCCCGTACAGTGCACCATTATTTCTCTGTACAATGTAGATATACTGTAGTAGTTCATGGTTGTACCAGTAGTTATGATCTGTATACTGGAGCGAATTCTTTTAATCTTATTGCAAGAAAATCAGACATATATTTAACAAGGAAGGTCTACAATCTTTCTTGACATTGTAGATTGTAGATGTAGGATAAATATACGAATGAAACAGTGACGAACTAGGAACTAAACACGAAAAGATCTTAACATAAGGTTCTACAACATCTTTAAGGTTAAAATTGCCGAGCGGGTAGTCTGCAGCATAGATGCTCTGATATGCCTTTTTAAGGTTCCCGTACTGATTTTGATTGATATCTGTTGTGTTGATGCTGCTACTGATAAAGATAGGTTTAGAATCAGTACTGTATAATGTGCATTAATTTCGACTAGTCGATGCATCGCTCGTTAAACTGTATTTTGCTTACTGTACTCGTACTTTTTATTTTGCATGCATGTTTCTGCTTAGAAGTTCCTGACTGTGCTATATTGTAAATGTTATACTGTCTACTGTTGTCACGGGCTACTCTCCTGACAAGGATAAAGCAAAGTATTCTGCTCTTCTAATTTACTACTATCAACTACTATTTTAGTTTTAGCATAAAACTACCCTCCTGCACTGCAGTCACACAGGCAAACTTCAGAATATTGAGCTACTTTTACTTTATTCTAACTAATACGATCAACGCTATTTTACTCGTAAAAACTACAAAATCAGTTATTAACGAGCAACAGGTAAAATTAAACCTCAATGATAAAAAAGTTTAGTCAACCGAACTTATATAGGCAGAAATCTATTACGACATAAATACTTAATCTACTGTATGTCATTATTTATGGTGTATTTGTACTTTGACAAATGTGCATATTGCATACAGATAGACACGTATACAGTACTAGAAGAACCATGTTTACAGTTCAGTCATGGTGTTATACTACTCATGTGATTGTATCACATGTCCTCGACATCTTAGTAGAAGGTCAAAGATGTCCAAAGTCCAAAAAGAATCATAATCATATGATATTATTTTTAAAGTTCGATTATACGAGTAACAATAGATAAAGTACTAACTGTATTCACAATACTATACTTTAGACTACAGGAAATAAGTGTAAACACTTAACAGTAAACATGACTACGTCTGCAATAAATTAAGCATCGACTGTGTCATCGTATTATTGTTACAATTTGAGAATCCGTATGCAGATGCAGGACTGAAAGCAAAGATGGCTAGCGAGGTCGAGTTTTATTATGATATTGCTTGCCCATTTTCCTATTTAGCAGTTTCTGCTTTCCGTTCCATACCCCGAGAAAATCCGATAAAAATTCAATGGATGCCAATTTATTTAGGTAATGCAAAGTGCGAGCCACATATCTTCTAATTTGATAGAATCGATGTGCTTGATATTCCTCTCCACATCACAAAATTTTTATTTTCTCCTGCTAGTAAACAGTTTAAATACGATGGACGACATCTGAACTGCGATCATGACTACATCGAGTAGAGCCAGAGATTACTTATTTCTCAAGTAGTTCCCGATCAGATTTATTTCTATAGTGTACGGTACAGTAGTTGATAATATAATTAATTAATATGCTTCTTCGGTATGCTACTATAGCGCTAAGATATTGTCTGAGTAGTGCTAAATTAATAAACTACTTAGCCCTACTTTACTTTCGTTGCTCTCTCTGCGATTACATCACAACTTCTATGTAACATCTACAGCAATAAAATAAAGCAAATAATCTATTCGAGTGTCTTTGTAATACGGTGTTATGATACATCACGGAAAAATTTATATCCTAAAATTATGGCAGCACCTTCAGTAATTTAATCTGCTACTGATCTGAATAGCAATGCTCTTGCAAAGGAATACTCATGCAGTTCATACCGCAAAACAGTTGCTGCCAAGATTTTATTTTCACGTACAGTAATAGATTTATCTCTATTAGCTTGGATTGATAACGTAATGATAAATGATCGTAATATAGTACATATAAGATAGCTTCATAACCGTATGTCTTCTCTCTTCAGTAGTCCCTGGTAGTGGCATATTATAACTTCTTTTAGTTACGGTAAATCGAATTATAAATAGAATCGTTTTGGTGGTCACAGCAATACTGTATGCCGAATGAAATGCAGTAATGAGAATTATTAGAATTACTTAGAACGTACTACGTCTAAAATTTTGAAGAAAAACTGTGCTTCTTATGCTTTGATAATCAGGAATGTACAGTAAAGTATAATATCTACGGTGAGATTGTAGCTAAAAGTTAAATTTTTAATACCTATCATTTTTACTCTTTTAAAATAATTTCATGGACGATGTAACCCCCATTACAATACGATCGATTCTTGCTACTATGTAAAACCTCACTTTTACGGTATCACTTCGAAATTATCCTGCTTGCTACAGAATCAATTTTGCTTTATAACAAGTTGAATATAGTTGGCAATAATTATAATCACTTTAGTAGTCCTACTGAAAATGTAATAACTACTGCACTCGTACGGTCATGAATATACTTATTCAACATCCGCCTAAATATTTACGAATAAAATCGTAATGACACAGAACTAAAACAAATTGTAAATTTCTTTGATTCCAGACTCTATTAAGGATCGCGCCGGTGTTGGATCACCTATAGTTAAAGGTGATTGTTCCGCAAAGAAAGTTTGGATGGAAAGAGGTAGAATGATTAAAACATAACTTACGCGCAAGCATGCTGCAATCTTTAACATCACGTTTGCGTAGTATTTATGAAAATATAGATTTTAGTTAATTGTATAATGCAAATCATTAAAATTGTGTTTCCGGTTTACCGAACTTAGCAATGATATTGTTCGTTCAGGTTATCAATCAATAACACAATATAATATCCATACTCATATATACAGTTAATAGTTCCTTCCCTAAACTTTGCTATAATAGATCAACTTGAAATCTTACCATCTAAAGATTACCGCATACTGTTACTAATAAACCTCGTATTATCTAAAAATTTAAAGATCTAAAAATGATGTGTGAACGATATAATGTTCCAATCAATCGCTCTCCTCGATATGAAGATCAAGATGGTACACCGCAGAAGCTATTAGCTTCTATAGATAATAACGGGGACAGAGAAAAGCTATCGTTGGCTTTATTCTCTCACTATTGGCTAAAAGATTGTGATATTCAAGATAGTAAGGTAGAATTACAGGATTTACGATGCGAGATGTCTATCTTCTAAAGAGATTTAGTGTTAGTAACAAATATACCCTTCAACATGAATTGTAGCTATCGGTACCTGGCTTTGAAATTAAAGACTTAATTTAACATTGTTACAAACCATCATAATATCATTAGATGATAAGGCGTTGATATTTTGATGCCATTATTATGTTAGGTACTGGAGAATATTGCTAAGGAAGCAGGATTGAGCTTAAATGTACAGCAACAGATAGCTAGAGGCGAAGAGCCGTTGAAAAAACTTAATGAAGAAGCAAATAAACTTGGTATATTTCGTGTACCATGGTAATATCTTGATAAAAGTTCATCTTTCTATTGCATTCATCACTGCAACGCACATATACGTATTTATATTTGTTGTTATTAATGCCATTATAATGTACTTTACTTAGCTTTCGTGTCTCCCGCAAAATATATTTTGGACCTGATCGATTACATTTTGTAGAAAGAGAACTGGGCAATAATCAAGCCTCAGAATTGAGACTAAGATTACCAAGTTCAGCGACTCCTGGTCATAGAGCTAAACTTACATTTTATTACGATTTCGTGAGCCCATGGAGTTATATAGCAGCCGTTGCGGTAAATTAGTTTTGCTTAAATTTTTTTCGTTTTTAAACGAATAAATAAATTTGCAATATAAATGGTTCTAAAAACTTAGATCGAACGTTTGGTAGAACAATTAAAGCCTGTAACTGTAGATGTAGAATGGGTACCTGTGTCGCTACCAGGTTTAATCCAAGCAAACAAAGCACCAGTTGTAAGTTGATACCGAAGAATATTGCAAAATAACTTTGCAATTTTGATATCAAATTAAATCTGAAAGTTATTGATATGCTTATAAAAAGGAGGCAGCTCTGGATGCTGCTAATCCAGCTTTTTTAAAAGCCACCGGTAGAGACATGCAAATGCAAATAGCGCTCCGCGGTGGTATGCCATTCAAGTTTAACTCAAAGTTTCCATACATATCTACCACTACGCTTCGTGCGATTCTCGTTAACGATGCTGCAGATTTACGTAGAAAAATATGTAAGCTAGCAAATCGTGAATTACTCATACACTAGCATATATCCTGTTTTGCCATATTTTATGTTACCAATCCATTTAATACATATACCGCTGTAAATCTTATTATTATTATCGACTTGGAAACTAGTTCAAGAGCTTTGGACAGCAGATCGTGATTTAAGTGATGATAAGGTTATTAAATTAGAAATGCTATCTCGTATAGAAGTTATCTATGCAACTGTAAACAAAATTCAGTTTCAATTCGTGTCAAATAGGTAGTTGCTGAGGTTATAGAAGAAGCTGGGTATGACGCTAAAGACATTCTATCAAAAGCTGAAGAAGATAATATCAAAGATCAGTTTGCACAAAATATGTCTCGGTAGGATAACAACTTTATGAACTCAAATTTATCAATATCAGTATTTACGCGTATCTGACTATGTCGTATTAACTCATCTATCATTAATAATTAATTCATTAACTAGCGCCTTAAAAGCTGGAGCGTTCGGTGTACCCGCTTTTCAAGTCAACGACGGTACTCTAATATTTGGTCAGGATCGCTTAAATATTGTAGCCGATATGCTTTGCGGATGGAATTGTAATTTATAATTATAATTAATTATAAACTAGTACTCTTACAGTAGAAGCAATTTCATTCTGACTAATCAATGAATATTTCAGATTGCTATTACGCTAAGATTTCGTATTATGCGCTGAAATATAAGCTGTAACCTGTATGAATAGATAAAATATTAATAATATAGCTACAAGTTCTCTATTAATAAAATTGATATTTACAATATTTACAAACTATGTTCACTAACTTAATCTACTTTTTCTATAGTGCTATACTAAGTAAATACGTACTGTCTCGTGTACTGTACTGTACAGTATGCAATGTGCAGCGTTACTTAACAGCATCCTTAATGATTAAAATTGTCCTAGTGGTAGTCTACTTTACCTTTCCTCTCTACAGCAGCAGTCACTAGATAAATTCCAGTTACTTATTGTGTTAATGTCATAGCATGTGATTAGATTCGATGTTTTCCTGAATATCTATATCTAATCACTATGATTGTTGAAACGGTAGTGTATTACGAACTCGATACGTTACATAAATTGTATGAGCTCACTGTAACTCTCTTACTCTAATATATGCTCTACGCATACTACACTGAAATTAACGATAGTAATGATAATTCATTATGTAGGTATGCAGAATACTATAAATACAATATGCAGTACGGCATAGCCTTAACAATCGGTATGCATTAATTATGGATTTTATTTCGTAATTAAATCATATACAACCACAAACCCTAGGTAAATCGAAATCTACAACTCTTTCAAACAATTTCAGTAATAAGGATTGAGTTTTGTCTTATTACAAGTTACATAAATACCTCAAAGTGACATACTTCGAAATTGCATTTTCTACATCTTTTAGATTAATCAATTCATTTATAATATACCTAGTCTAAAATGCTTCCTTATGCAATAGTATTTTTCGTCTCTTGCGGTATTTACTGTGGCCATACAGATAGAAATAGTATTCTCTGTCTTATGACTGATTGTCGCCGATGGCTTTTATCACGATATTATCAATATTTCGTATTTCCATTTATACTTGCGGAACTGAAGTAGAAAATAGGGCATCAATAGAATAGGATTCCAATGTATTAGTGTGGTTTAAAGAGGTAAGTACGTTGCATAAGGGCTAGACGATGAAGGAATACTTGTAATATAGATTGGGCAAGGATCACATTTGTGGTACAGCATAATTTAAATGAACATTTTAGTTCATCAATGCAAAATTTTTTCCTGTTTGTGAGTGTCTCAACGATAAACTAAATCCAGCCACTTAATTCTACTATTCTATTCTCTAATCGTTAGTAACAGTTACCAGTGCATGTATATAGTATTAATTAGGACCTAATCTCTAAGCAGAAATGGTAATTTAACTGAATTTCGCCCGAGATCTTACGTTTTTATATTGCGATTATTAAATGAAAGAAATATTCTTTAAGCTTACAAATTTCTTAAAGCTGTAATTAATTTGGTTGCTGCTTATATTGTTGATAATCCATTGAATTACCATAGATCAAATGGCGGCTCCGTATATTTCATTTATAATTATAATATATTACTTTTAAGCATTTTATTAATGATGTAGTGGAGCCCCAAATACAGCTTAGATTACGATTCAAGATTGTACGAGAATAGGCTAAATTGTAAGCTACGTTATAAGACTGCACAAGTATCTAATCGTGTAAAACGTTTATAGCAGGTATTGTAGTAATTGTATTGAGATGCTTATATTAAGATTTTGAGATAATAATAGATTGTTCCACTTATGTTAGTGCTGTGCGATTTGTATTGTGACGTTTTAATTAGAAGCACAAATTATGAATTGATAGCGTGATAGCAAATTCAAACATGAACTTGCTGCTTAATTGTTAAGATATGATTGTGCTTGAAAGAAAATCGTTGTGTAATTAATTTTGTATCAACAGTGAATATTGCTGTGATAATTTATATAGTTCAGAGATAGCCTGATTGTAATTAAATAGTCCTTGTTAGTAGTAAGTGGAACATAATCTTATGTCATAAAGTGAAGTTTGCAAGAAACTGTAGTTTTTGTTATATTTTTGAGAAGACACTTCATCACAAATGGATATCTATATCATTGGATTGGATATGGCTAACAATATTCATTTGCTTGCTCGTGAATCAATAGTGAATAGCTGCAAACATAGTTTAAAAATTAACTAAACAATTTAATTCGGCTTGTACCAGACGTGATAGGAAGCTTGTTATTTAAACAATACAGAAAATATGTTTAGCAATCGCGTTCTATATACTGTTATATAGCATTTTCATGAATTTAAATTAAAGTGCATTACTTTCAGACAAAATGATGACTTAAGAACAAATTTTTTGCAGCTTCGAGTAAACCGGAAATACTTTATATCCAAAAGAACTAGTTTATAGTTTACGTCAATTTTTGCTAAGAATAAGACCTTAACCTTCTTGAAGTTTTAATCTTATCTTTAGCAAAATCAGTAAATGAAAGCTTTTAATTATAACATTATGAGGAACTTGATAAATGTGCTTTGTTTAATTAAGGCATACGACTCAGTTAATAAAAACAAAATGATTTCACATTTCTAAACGTTATGACTATTTCCTTCATCTTCATTAATGATCATACGAATAAAAGATCTTAACAAAAATAAACTTTTAAAAGGTAAAATCCATGGTAAATAATTATACAATCGCTATAAATAGAAATTTGTAACGTGACAAAATTGGGCTAATACAGAAATTCAATACTAAGAACTTACTGTAAGGCTTGTCCTCCCTGACATTTACCTGCAGCGACTTTGAATACTGGCAATCTTCTGTTGTCAGAAGGAAAAGTAACATCACTAATTAATAAATAATCTCTCTTCAGACGTAACTGAACTCAAACTTTAAAGCGTTATCATTAGTTATTAGTACTTAGATAATATTACAAAACCATACGATTATCTTATTAAATGCGTAAAATGCCATAGATAATTTAATATAAACACCTCTCCAGGTGAGTTATGTTATATAGGAACCAAATTACGACAACTTTACAAAAGTTACTCAGTAACAATGCCTTATATTTAAGCATATTTTAAGCACATTTTCTAAAATACTGGAGTAACCAATCGAAAATATACCTTCTTTTATAGTTAAAAATAGCTAAGAGCACTGTTTTATTTGTAAATTCTATATCTGCAAACGGCTGCGTCGTGTACTTTAGTCCTGTAAACTATATAGTGACCTATTGTTTGTCATAAATAACATTCCAGGATACTCTTGATATGGTATTCTTTCTTAAATCGCTAATACTAGAAATTTTAAACTTGAAAACCAGATAGCCGTTACATCAGATCGATAGAAAACTCTTATGATCAATTTTATTTTGATATTCTGAGAAATGAAATATTTATTGGAATTTGATAGCTGTAAAACAATTCCATAGAAATTGCCTTTAGGCGAACTGCAGTTAAAAAATGAAATGCTGTAGTTGCTAATTCAATAAATTATGGTTATTTCATCATTGCTGTGCTGTGATATATAAAAGCTATCAATAATTCTATAATACTGTATTGAAGAACGACGATAGTTTATAGAACGTACTTTAAAATATGCGATTTCATAAAGATTTCAGAATTGTATATAACATATTTTCGTCATTATTTGAAAAATTTTACTTAAATTAACTAGAACGGAAATGTAATGTCTTTGTGTTTTTCTCATAATTATCAATTATTAACTCTTTCCACATTTTCATTCTTAGTTACTTAAAGTCAAAAAGTTATTTAAATTCTATTATTGTTTGATTGAAAATGTTCACTTCAATTTCTTTTAATTTTACCAATAATTCTAAATTGTTAATATATAAAAACTTTAGTTTGCATTATCTATAGCTTGAAAAAGGATTAAATTGATTTTTGGGGATTCCAGCATATCGATACCGACAGCACCATAAGTACTTATGAAATCACTCGGGATTATTAAATACACTTTAGAAAACTTGGTTACTCTATTAAAATGCTGTGATACAGGTCTAGTATATTAATTACTTGTAACATAACTTAGTATTGGGATTGTGGACAATTAGCCGTGTTTATTATGATGTATGGTGGCGTAGCTTTCTATATTTATCTTAAGACATAATTAGAAGTTCGCAACTATGCACTGTACTGGAAGATTCTATACTAGATCACAGATAACAGTATACAGTAGTGTATGGGCTTACTATTAAAGTTACAGTTAAGAATAGAAGTACAGTTGTAAATCATATATATATAATAATCTAAATACGTATAGAAAATGATAGAATGTTGCAATGCTGATTATAGCTGAGAATAATACTTAAAGTATGTAGGTTCTACAGTAATATAGGAAATGCTACGATTTATTGTACTTACGAGTACACGAATTAATAGGCTATAGCACTGCAATATCACTCGCGCTTTATTTAAAAATGAAAATTAAGAACGTCATTTATAATGTGATTGTACTACTGGCCAATAAGGCTTTGCGATGGCGCCCATAATTTAGATAAGATAATTTTTCATAAATAATTGCATCCTTTTATCTAATTACCTCATTAAAGTGTATCTGATATTTATTTCTTAAGAAATTTATTTATTCGTAGGTATATTTGTTGGCTTATACCATTTAATTTTGTGAGAAAATAGTGAATAGTGGGTTCACTAAATGAAGCTGATTTACAGATTACAGTACAGTGTATTTACTGATTGTGAGCATTTTTAAAAAGATGGCTTTTAATTGATCTTGCTATATTACTATAATCTTACTAAACCTTACAACAGATTAAGATAGTAATTCTTAGAAGCAACTCAAAGTTAGTGTGATACCTTAGACTAGTAAGCTTCCCAAGAAGTAATCCGTAATAGAAGTGCGCGTATAATAATCAACATGGACAGCATTCATTGTACTCAAGTAATTAGCCTACGGTGATGCCCTATACATGTTAATATAAATAAATGTATAGATATTACTAACCTAAACTTACCATTAAAAATATCGCTATCAGAATTAAAACC